AAATATTATTTTTCAAATAACTTTTGATGGAATGATTTCCCAGACTAAAACGACATACCGTTGGATGCGCCTTGACGAGTACTATCTACACATATGATTTGATGATAAACGGATGAAAGAAAATAAATCGACGGTATCCTTTGATGATATTAGTATTAATATTAATATAAAGTTGAGGCAAAGGGCAGCTCTTAGAAAAAAGATTCTTGCCTATTATGAATATTACCAAGGCAGAACTACTATGTTTATTGTAGTTCCGATGCACCGGTTATTTCCGGTTGAAATACGCATAAGAACAGAGAGCTCACAGGATATTGGATCAGAATGTGAAAATTGTAAAATGATGAAGGTGGTAACATATCATTTTGAGCTTCGTTTGTTTTATTTTTCTGTTTTTTCTTTGTCGGATTTGTCGTGGCTGATGTATTTGACGCATCTGACCGAGTCGACACTGTCGAATTGGATCGCTCTTTTCGTTTTTCACCCACCATTCGGTAGAGAATTGAACGGCGAGTCCGAATATCTTTTCCCCGCTTTCCGAAGCCCTTCCCCGGTTGAGAAAATCTCAAAATAGCAAGGTCAAAAAACGTTTTTTTTGCGACTTTTTGAATTGATTTTGCGAAGTCTGGTTAAGACTTGGAGAATTTTCAGATTCATATTTTTGTTCAGCGTCAAAATTGAACAAAACTGTGCACTCAGAACCTTTTTAGTTCCAAACCACTTTGCGCCAGAGACTACGTCCAAAAAACGGCCGAAAAAACCCGACCGTTTTTACAAAGTTTTCACGGGTTTCTCTGGGATCCTAGGTCCGATATTTTCACATGGCTGCATTCCCCGTGAGCTCCTCTTCAAAAGTGTTCGTGCACAATTTTGAAATTTTCCTTCCTCGCCGAGAGAAGCCCGTTTCACAACGCCTAACGGCCAGGTCCTTTCCGCTCTTTTCGTTATTTTCCCTCGGAATGCCGCTAGACTCCAGCCAAATAGACTAAAAACGATGAAGAATTCGATGGAGATATTTCCTGAATTTCTAGAGGGTCTCTGAAGGTCTCTGGAGGATTTTGTGGAGTTTTAGACGATTAGTGATCTTCCACTGCTCAGTCGGCGGTCCTGTCCTTGAAGTTCAGTGGTGATTCCGCCTGCTCACTGTTGTCGACCTCCATGTCTGAAAGTTCTTCGGAGGAGCTGGTGCCACTTTCATTGCGAGGATTGCCCTTCGGAAGAAAGTTTATCGATGTTGTTGTCGCGCGAAGAGACATCTTTGACTTTCGGGGCATTTTCGATGATCATAATAGGTGATAAAGGGTTAAAAATGATCTGAAATGTAAGAAAGACTTAATTTCCTAAAGATTTGGAGAAAGCGTACACCTAGAACAGAATAGTAAACAGTTCGACATAGTTTCAGCCTTAAACAAGCTTAACCCCTTCTAAACCCTCCAGAGACTTTTTAAAGACCCTCTAGAAATCCAGGGAGTATCTCCATCGAATTCGTCCAGAAGGTCTCTGAAAGGTCTCACAATCGTGATACGTTGCAAGGTCACGGTAGGGCTATTCACCGTTTTGTTTTGCCTATGCGCCTGGTATATAACTCTTACTGATCTTTCCAAAAATTTTCAAAATCTTATCACATCTTAATAATAGCTTACGACATGACTAATATGGTCTCGCGTAGTCGTGTCGCACGTGCGCAATTCGTCTGCGTTAGCGATGAAAGTAGAGCGGATCATTACTGATATTAGACGGAAAACGCAAATAAACAGTAGCTATAGTAAAATACTTGAGAGTCATCGATTTCTGCATGAATCGATTTCGCGAGTCTTACAGCGAACACATTACGCAATTCTCATCCTAGAATTTTTAAAGAAACTCGCGTCACGACATACGATAAGAAAGTGGACCTGGGACAGTTATCGGTTCATTTGTTACTATAGCTCTACTTGCTGAAACAATACACTGTCGGTTTGATCATCAATGCACTGTAGTGAAATTATGTGATTTTGTTTTGCACGTTGATCAGAAATAAAAATATAAAGTGAGAGCATATTTCATTCGGCCAGTGTTATTAGACGATGGTTGTTTTGAAACAACTCACTAACAACAGAATGACAAGATACTTTTTCTTCAAAATAAATAAAGGATGTATGAGATATACAGCGGCTCTCTTACGAGATGTATCCGATGACTGTGATATACGAAGTATTTCTATCCCGTTTATAATGTTCATCATTCATAACAGAAGGAAAACGTTAATTTTTTTTGTTTTAATCTTGATCATGTATTAATCAGATAGTTATTAGGGCGATTTTCGATATTACTTAACATAATGAAACAAGTACATCTACACTGCATTCTAAACAACTTTTCTGTGAAACGTTTTTCGAAGTGAAACTTTGAACATTTTTGTTGTTGAAAAATGAATACGATCATTCAGTTAAAATACTTAAGGATATATTCAAGTTTATCATCTGGTAGCTACTTTTCAAACATTGTATGTAATATTAAATGATGATATGATCGCTGATGTCTTCCTGTTTTTTTCGCTTGCGTCTTACTTTTACAGTCTACTTTTTGCTATTGGTTGCTCAAAACTCGTCGAAGACTTTCTTGTGTATAAATATAATTGAACTTTTTACCATTAATTCATTCGAATAGAGCAAAGATTTCTGGACGAAATGAGACGTCTCCGAGCTCTCTAAGAACTTTTTTCATGAAACAGCATTTAATTTACGGAAGGTCCCATACCACCAAAATCGGGACAATTAATGGGCAAACAAGAAAAATATGCTCTTGGGACCTTCCGTAAATTGAATGCTGTTTCATGAAAAAAGTCCTTAGAGAGCTCGGAGACGTCTCATTTCGTCCAGAAATCTTTGCTCTATTCGAATAAACTAATGGTAAAAAGTTCAATTATATTTATACACAAGAAAGTCAATAAATACACAGGGAGTAAGTTTTTGAAAAAAAAGTTTTTGAGAAATATGTTTTGATTGAAATTGGCATACCCTTCAAAACATGATGGAGATGGAATTGATGAATCACAGTATCAAATAACAGCTGATTCAGCTAGTGTTCAATAAACATTTATTAAAAACCAGCAATAGCTAGATTCATTCACATTATTCAAAAATATTTTGAATTATATTCATATGAATCGATCAAATACAAGTCAAAATCTGCCTGAAAATTATCATAGATACTATAATTCCACAATTCAATCTTGTTTAGAGTTGTTTAAACGATGGTTACCAGATGCAAAAATATTTTTTTATATTTATAAATTCATTGGTCCGGCATTCAATGTACCACTGACATATGAAGAAAAAAGTAAAATTATTATATTATTAGAATTTTTTCGTAAATGGAAACATTTAGCCATAGAAAGTAATAAAATTACTTATAACGTACATAAATGCATACAAAAAATATTACCTTCTCGAGTGGATCACGATTATGTGCCGGCATTTAAACTAAATTTTTGGTCGACAATTATACAGGAAAACTTTTTAAAACGATTTGAAAAAAGTCGACCTGATTTATATGAACATATTAAAACCATTCACACACATCTTGTACCGAAATGGTCCGAAACAAAGGAAACACTTGCTGATCAAGAACTGGAATTTCGTTATTCATTTTCAGTTGTTGAAATTATATTAGCAGAAAAACGAAGTCCGAACGGCCTGGCCAGCTAACTCTACCTGCGTACGTA